GAAAGAGAGACAGATAAGTGTTGTCCTGACATTTCAGAACTAGGTGAAGCTGAGTGGCTGGTACAGATTTTGGGTGCGGCCATTTGCTATTTATAGAGGACCATTAATGTGTTTATTAACCCTCTGCTGAGCCATTTATATATACCCTTCCTCTCCATTCTCACCCATCACTTCTCACCCTCAATCATTTCCATTCAAACAGAGGAGAAATGACTGGAGACTGAGCTCATGATGCTGTTCATACCATCTTCCTGCCTTCAGTTTTGCTCAGTTCCTCCCTACTTCCCTTACCCCTTTGCTAGATCTCTCCCTCAGCTTTCCCTCCCTTTGGCCGGACCATGCTGACCTGATTGCTGTAGTAACTAACTGTGGCTCCCCAGTCCAACTAACGTGGCCATCCTCTCTCTGTCCTGTGTGTGTGTGTGTGTGTGTGTGTGTGTGTGTGTGTGTGTGTGTGTGTGTGTGTGCGCATGTACTTGAAATTTTACGTACATATAAACAAATGCCTACATGGTGTATGCGTACTTGTATGGGCGTGCATGTGTGTCTGTGTGTATATTCGTGTGTGTATGCCAGGCATGCGAGTTGCTGGAGGCAGAAAGGGGCAGATTAGAGAGGTTGGCTCAAATTGTGTGTGAGCAGCGCTCCCAACTGGACAGCTGCCCTGAAGCCACCAAGGAGCCCCTGCAGGAACAGCTAGCCAGGGTCAGTACACACACACACCTCACACACACATGAATAGGAAAATATGCACTTGAGTCTAAACCCATCAATCCATGCAGACAAAACAAAACATAGGCAAGTATACAAGCAAGAATACTCAAAATAACTGGGAAATACACCAGCTGTATATGCACACACTGTCAGAAGAAACCAGAACAAAAGCTGATATACATTATGTGCACATATTCATATTGATTCTCAGACGTACAACATATATGGACGGGTGTTGTGGTGCTCACATATGTTGCTTGCATGTGAACATGCATGTGTTTTCTTTCCTGAGCTTACTTGCTCTCAGCCTCACAGCCAGTTTTGATCCTAACCTGGTTTATGTTCTCTCTTCTCACTGTCTGACTCTGTGTTTCTATGTCTGCACATCTTTTTATTCCGTCAGAAGAGTTGAGTCTGTAAGAGTTGAGTCTGTAAGAGTATAGAGGATCTCAAGGGAAAGGCTTTCAGACTTTTTACAGAAATACTCTGACATTTGGGCCTAAGGTCTAATGCACCCTTTATGTTTGACACATAACATGTTAAGAGAGCACTTTTAAATGCCCTGTATTATGGGGGAATGCTGACAGTATGTTAAATGTTGCATGTTTGTACAAACACTGGTTATGCATTGGTTTAGCATGGCTGTGAAGTGCAGGGTTGGGGATCAGTGTGTCTGGTTTGCTATGTCTATGTCAGTGTATTATGGGATAAGAAGCTGGTTTTTCATACACAATTGCTTGCATAGTTCTTATTTTTACAGTAAGTATAAACACCACCCACTCATATCACCGTATATGGCAGAATTCTTGAAATTAAAACTGCAAAAGAAGAAATAGTTTAGTTTTGTGTTTTTAATCACCCCTGCATGTACACATAATGTTGTATTTGTTATGTTTATGTACTATAAAAGTGTGTGTGGATACTTGCATCTTGCCTGTTAACCTGTGCATTTCTATGTGTGTGTGTCTGTCAGGACTGTGAGGTGCTTGAGGCAGAGACAAAGCATTTTGAGGACCTGGAGTTTCAGCAGCTGGAGAGAGAGAGCAGGCAGGACGAGGAGAAAGAGACCCACATGCAGCAGTTTCTCCGGGAGATTGCAGACTACCAGCGCAGCACGGTCACTCGCAAGGTAAGGGCTGCCTCTTTGTGTGCAAAAAAAGTGCAATAGTATTACAGTTTGATTTTTTGTTTCACGATGAATTCAAATACATTAATTAATAAAACAATTTTTGTCCTATATGGGCAGCCTTTTCAGTTTGTATAAGAGGCACTACTTTGTGGTGAAACAAACCCTGTTTTGTAGCATTGGCTGTAGTGTTTGTGTCCAGCTCTGTAAGCTGGAAACATGTACTAAGATTGTTTTCCATTTCTTCCAGGAGCGACTGCTAACACTGAAGAAGCAAGCAGTGCAGATTACTCAGCAGGCTGAGCGAGAGAAGGGGAGCTTCTTGAAAGAGAGGAGCAACCTTGAGCTGATGCTGCAGAGGGTATGAGGATATCTGTGTATGCACGTGACATTGGCTTCAGTGTGTGAATGATACGAACAAGATCTTTTTTCTGTCTGTTAGGAGAAAGAAAACCTTGCCACACTGGAAAGAAAACACACTGACCTCACTGGCAGCCGGGGTTTTACTCTGAAGGAGGTTGGTTTGATTGACAGCTACACATGTTAAATGAGATCTATCATCTTCACTGAAGTCTTGAAGATTCCTAAAGTGGAAAGGGCCCTCATACGTTTTAATGGCTAGAGGTTTCTTCTCTACCTGCATCAGTCTTTTAATGATCGTTACAATGGCCTCAACTCTGCCACAGTTTCTCCTCCTCCAGTTGACTTGTGCACCCTCTCATCTCTACCTTTCTCACAAATGTTGAGGTAGATGTATCTTGATGTACCAAGTTAGTCTTTTCTGTTTCCCTGTTTGTCCAGATTGCCTGTAAAATCTCAGCCTTCCTTCCTGTTGTTCAGTCCTCCTCGCCTTCTGGTTTTTTCTTTGTCGCCTCTCTTGTTGTAACTGCCAGTTCCTGTGAGGAGAAGTTAAAGGAATTTGAGCAGAGACTTATTTTATTAACTTTATGCACAGCTTATACTCACAAATATTAATACTGAGATAATCATGTAAGAATGTCTCTTGCCTTGTGTATTTCACTCAGTCTCCATGAATGTTAACAGAACTGTGGATAATTCATTTGTTTCTAAGTGGCAGGACTTTTGTTCAGTTTTTGCTTTGAATGTGCTAAAATTCTGAATCATTCTAACAACTAATTCTGAAGTTTAATTCTTGACTTGGCTGACCCACTTTAAGCTATGCCTCACCCCTTCTTTCTCCCTCATTTCTCCACACTATACTTTCCAGGGCAGTGTCACAGTTAGTGAAATCAGTGAGCTTTACTCACAGCTTGGGGTGGACCCTAAACCCACCCCTGTCCCTGCTCTGGCCAAGGCAAACCCCTCTCCTGACGATGACACCCCCAAACCACCGGAGGATGAGGTTTGTGTAGTGGTGTAAAGGGCTTGTGTGTGTAGTTTAGTACACAGACAAAGATAATACAAGGTATGTTTGTGTTTCCCCAGTTTCCCTCATTAGCACTATTTCAGTTTCCAGTTTTCCTTTTTTCTTTTTAAAGCTCTGTCATTCTTCCTCACCTGATGACAGTCACTCCTCTTCTTCTTTGTCCTCTTCCTCCCATCTAAATCCCTGCCCCCTCCCCAAAATACCCTCTGTCCACTGGCCAGAAAACATGGCGTCATATCGAGACCCCTCTCCCCTCCCTGACTCTCCCCCCCATCCCCTTCCTGTCAAAAAACACCATCGCCGACACAGGCAGGTAATGTGTGTGTGTGTGTGTGTGTGTGTGTGTGTCACACACACACAATCGGCTTTTGTGTTTTTAAGTGACAAAACACCTTGAGGTTAGTCATTTAGTTAGGATTTAATGGTTAGGAGCTAGGGGAGACATCGTGTCAGAGTATCCTCACAGAGATAAAAGTACAAATGTGTGTGTGTTTGATCAGCATTTCCGTTTACTGGAGGAGAGGAGGAGGTCTGAGAAAGAAGGTGGTTCCCATCTAAGTGATACGTTACCCAGGAAGAAAACCTGCCATGACTCCCCAGTTCACATGTGCAACACTCGGACGCAGCTTCCCTGCCAAGGTACACACACATTTAGATGGTCACTTGAATATAATCTTATAAGAAATGACAAATCACTGGAAATCATTTATTGGATACTTGGCCTACTGTATATGCCCCTTTCCTAAACCAGCCAATAACTGTAATGCTTATTATATATTATTTAACTGCAGACTATATATTTGTTATTTTGAAGTTGCAATCAAAATTTATTATTATTATTATCATTATTATTATTAATAATAAACATGGTGGTAAAAAGGTTTTGGTTCTTTTGGCCCCTCATAGTCCCATCAGCCTCTGGTACAGAGCACAAGTTGTGGCAGCATTCTTCCAAGAATTCTCTCCTTAACCAACAAGGAAACTGATTCTCGTCGTCTTCATAAAGGTACACACACATGCACATGCAGCCCTCAGCTGACTCATCCATTGACCAATAGAAGCTATATGTAGGGATGAAGAGAACACATATACACAGGTAGACACATGGAAATGTCATTTCATTTAAAAAGATTCTCTGTCAGCTTTCTTTATTTGTTTCCTTCACGCCCACAAACAAACACACACCTCTCTTGGGTGTCACATGACAGTATGCCTTATATGGTAACATTGAGAGTTTATGTGTGGGTGTGCACCTTATTGTGTTTTGTTAGATTACATGGCTTCACAGTTTGTTTATCTGTTGGTGGAGATAGTGAAGGAATGTGAGTGGTGGAGGGCTGCTCCATCAAGTGGTGCATTGTGTGTGTGTGTGTGTGTGATTATTCAGTAGAAGCTTAAAGAACATTTTCTCTAGGTACTGGTTTAAGTATGAACTATTTGAACATTGTTACATTAGCTGAAAAAGTGCTGTATGTGCTTATACAGGTTGATACAAAAATGTTGATTTTCTTGTAAGTTCTGCTCCAAATGTCAGCAGTCGTTTCCCAACATCCCATCTGTTCAGTCACCACAGCGTATAATCCTGTTGTCCTCTTTTTGGAGGTTTGTTGACATGTGATTGTGAACCCAGATTTAAATACTGAAAGAGGAATGATGGTCCTTTGCCTCAAGGACCCAGTATCTTTTTTTCCACATTAGGTTTGTGTATGGTCTTAGTATTTTGAGTGAAAATGTATTTATTTATATCCATATTGCCCACATGCAACAAACAATTTAATCCTTTTCTAAATAACAATTTAATAACTGCACCTTACAAGACAGAAATCTCAAAAAATAAATTAGTATTGTGAAATATATTTAGAATATTGTGTTGTTATCATGCTGCATCTCATCCCTCAGTCCCCTTTAGGCCCTCGATCTGGATCATCCGATAGGTGGTTCCTCTGTATTGGGCAGATAGTATCAGGCTTTCTGTGTGGCCCTTCCTGTACACAGAAGCTGAATTAGTCTCTCTTCATGCTGTCTTCACCATATATTTGTCATCATTCCTCCTCCTAGTTCTGGGGATGTCCCATTTTCTTTCCAGATGTCTTTGGACTTTACTGTACAGCTGCTGTTCTTTGGACACATTTTTAACTAGAGTAGTTACACCATGGGGGTGTGGGTATATTTTTCACTGAAAGTATAAGAGCATCTTTTATATTGGTGGGCCACTGTAGCCATTAAGGCAAATGCTTGTTCGAGAGGACGTGACACAGACAGGTACAACACAGATGTGCATACATACAGAAGAAGAGTAAGTAACTTTAGTGTTAAAAAGTGGTTGTGCTTGACTTTTTTTGTGTTTGTGTGTGTGTTCCCAGGTCAGCCTGGTACCCGAGCATCTTCCCAGACCAACGTCTACCTCGATGCCTTTGGGTACCGTGACAACCAGGCCTTTGACACAATGAGTGTGGATAGCGCCGACTCTATGGAAACCAGCATCTCTGCTTGTTCACCCGACAATGTCTCCAGGTATATTTTGCAGACATGTTGTTTGTGCGTGTTTACACATGTATTACTGTGGATAGAAATAGAAGTAACAGAAACAAAAATGAAGTCTGTCAGTGGTGTGTATTTCTGATTGGTGTAACGTGTTTAGCTGGAATATTTCTATGTCAGGTTTGTGTTAATGAATATAACTCATTGCTACTTTACTCCTTTAGAATGATTTAAAATGAGAAAGAATGACAAAGGTTGAAACGTTGCAATATGACAAGAGGCAGTCAGAAAATTGAAAGCATGAAACCACAAACATGTTCCTTGTACTTATAATTAAATATAGACTCGAGAGAGCAGGGCAGGCAGCAAAGAAGGAGTAGAAAGCGAGTTCATGTCAAAAGTGTGTGGAGAGATTTCTCGCCTTTCACGGAGCCTCCTTGGAGGAAAGGATGTGTAGAACTGTGTGTGTTATTTGAGGAGAACTTTTGATTAGTGTTCTTAGGTCAGGTTACGGAAGAGGGAACCCATGAAAGTCGTGTGTGTGTGTGTGTGTGTGTGTGTGGTGAGCCCTCTCAGGTTCAGACAAACTGAGCGAACCAATATGAGTGTGGAGGTACGCTTGGGGGTCCAGCCCCTGTCTAGACTAAAGCATGTGTGTTCTCTTTCCTTTTCTCCCTTTTTTTTTTTTACTGTGGTTACATCTGTCTTTTGTCTCCCCCTCTTGTTGCTCTGAATGGTATGGTCTTTCTGCACATTGATTTTGTACAAACCCAAACCATTTGCAGATTGACTTCTTCATTCTAAGTTTTCCAAACTGCCTCCATGATCCTCAGTATGGCTCCAGTTGCATTGGATTGCACCGGCTTAGACTGGATTGGAAGACAAGTGACAGAATTAGGAGTAGTGCTGGACAAAAAAGTAGTTTTATGACAGAACTGGATGTTTTGTCGTCTTGTCAGTGCTGTTTCCTGGAGATAAGTGTGATACAAGTACTTCTCGACTAATCCAAAAACTTGGAGAATTACATTTGAACTGGACTGGCTATGACAATGAGTGTGATGCCCTCTTATCAAGTGAGGTAAGAGAATGATGTTAAGAAGAGAGGAAAGGATGGATGTCACAATGAGGCTCGAGCTAGGTTGGATACATGTTTATAAGAGTGAGGACAGGGAAACAGTTGCAGTCTAAATGCAAGTACAAGACAATGTAACATTTAATACAGTCAGTCATATTTCGGAAGTTAGATGGCATGCTGATATTCATCTTTGCTTAAGTAGTTTTTATTATGAAAGATAATCATAATAAAGACATTGCCTGCAACAATCAACAGGCTTAGAGTAATATTGAAATAATCATATATTGGCAGCAGAATGTAGACTGGCATTAATTTGACATCTGGAAACTGTTGAATATGAAACGGTAGGGCGGGAAAGCGTTTTCTTTCCTCCATGTTTGCTCCGTTTTATTCTACAACTTTTTATACCCTCCCACCAAATCTTTCTTTATCTTTTCTGTTCACTGGGGTACCTTACTTCTCTCTTCCCCTTCATTCCTACTTTGTTTAGACTCTCGAGTCTTAATGTCCATTTCCTTCTGGCTCCATTTAAGAGAGAATTTGTATGTCTGTAGTTGTATTACTCATGTTGTAGGGAGATAAATCTGTTTACATTTTTGGAACTGGGTTACAGTTAGAGTTATGTTATGTTTAGGGTAGGGTTAAGGTCAGCGTCAGGCGAATATTGGATACGGTAAGGGTTTGGGTAAGTCTCCAGGAAATGGATGTAAGTCAATATAATGCCATACTGTATGAGGTGACGGAAACATGACTGTGTGTTTGTGTTTGCATGTCAGAGAAAAAAGAGCAAGAAAATGAGAGAGAAATACTGTTTAACATGACAAAACATACACACAAATACCTTCCCTGTGATGTCAGTTAAAAAATTGTCATGTGCAGACCATCTGCAGTCTGGGAGACCTGAAGCAAGATTAGGACTGCTGTTTTAAACTGAACACAGACAGTGGCACAGCAAAGTCAGAAAGGCTTCGAAAGTTAGAGCGAGAGAAGAGACGTGGTCTTACTCTTACACTGCCTTGACATCTAGGCTTTCTGTCCTAATGGATTTCCTCTTTGACTGAGGAAACACACTTGGATAAGCAGTTAATAGTAATATTGTCAAGACAGTGTAGCTTTTAGGCTGGAGTCAAAACAGTATCCCTTATGACTCTGTGTGGTGTATATGTATGCTTGATATATTACAAGGCGGTTTGTAGACCCTTTGTCTCTACTGTGTGTCATACTTTATTTAGCGTAAGACAAGCCTATAATCCACCACAGCTTCAGTACAAAGCTAAGCATCCACTACTGTGGTGCTGAGCCAGAGATTCTCAGAAAATGTAACATGGAAAAACATAGAAAAGTTAGAATGGCAGGTTTAACTGATTAACTTGGTGGCTGCAGAGTTTCATTAGGTTTTCAGTGTATTTGGGTTTAGTGTTTTCCATGTCCGTAAGCCAAGTTGTTGATTGTAGAGGGAAAAAGAAGTTGTTTCCACTTTTCTTTCATATGTGTTGTATGTTTTTGTGTGCTGCAGTGCCAGTACGTCAAATGTGGCCAAGCTAGAGGAGATGGAGCGTCTGCTTAGAGAGGCTCAGGCAGAGAAAAACCGCCTCCTGGAACACAAGGTCATTATCAGATATTATCACAATACTGTTTTTAAATGGTAGACAACCAAATATGTCAAAGCCACTATGAGTGGCTTTTCTTTTCTTGTTAAATACCCTAAACACTCAGACACACTAGTTGTTTCTATGTGTATACTTGTGTATTAAGACTTAAACCATTTAACTGATTCCTCAGGAGCAAGAAATGGAAATGCGAAAGCAGGCCCTGGAGGAGGAGAGGAGAAGAAGGGAGGAACTGGAGAAAAGGCTGCAGGAGGAAACAAGCAGACGCCAGAAACTTATTGACCGTGAGGTGAAACTGCGAGAGAAGCAGAGGGCACAGGTATGAAAGAGAAACACAAGAGGAGCATGGAAGTTTTGTGTATATCCAAAATTCAATGTTTGCGTGACTTACTATTTGGTACAGCATGTTTTAAACACCAGGGCCCAGGAGTTTTGTTGAGATAATTTTATGATCACAAACCCATTATTTGATTGAACACACTGTTCTGAGAGGTTTGCAAGAACCACGTAAAGGCTACAGATGATGTAGTATTTCAATTTACACACTTGACCATCTTGTTTATATTGAAACATTTTTAAATTAAATGCTGTTCATTTGATCCACTCAAGGTAATCCAGATTTTTGGATCAAACTGTAGTTTGTTTAAACTACCTGTTTTGAGTATTTGATCCAGATTAAAGCTTGGGTTTGATTTCCTGATACAGTCAGATATCAGAGTGATCCCAGTCCTGTTTTTTGGTTTTGGATTTGGATAGGGATTACAGGTTTTGAACTCCTGGGCCCTGCAGACTCACATCTTATCTTACCTTTATCTTTAGATTAATCTGTTACTTTATTTTTCACAGAGCATACCACTTTGTGCATTTCATGTATATTTCCCTCTTTAGTATGGTTTCAATGGTGATGTTCAAAGTTCAAAGTGTTTATTTGTCATATGCACAGTTAGGAAACGTGTTTCCCTGTACAATGAAATTCATACTTTGCCGTACACATGAATGCTACAAAATACAAATGAAATATAAAGTAGTTAAATAAATAACAAAATCTGAGGCACTTTAAGCAGCGTAGATGCAGCAATATAGTAAAAATAATTAACAAGAATATAACAATGTATGCTGCATGGGAGCAGCATGTGCAGCAGTCAACAGTCATTGTGCAATTATGCATGTGCAAACAGAATGTAAACAGTACATCACGTACAGTGCCTTGCGAAAGTATTCGGCCCCCTTGAACTTTGCGACCTTTTGCCACATTTCAGGCTTCAAACATAAAGATATAAAACTGTAATTTTTTGTGAAGAATCAGCAACAAGTGGGACACAATCATGAAGTGGAACGAAATTTATTGGATATTTCAAACTTTTTTAACAAATAAAAAACTGAAAAATTGGGCGTGCAAAATTATTCAGCCCCTTTACTTTTAGTGCAGCAAACTCTCTCCAGAAGTTCAGTGAGGATCTCTGAATGATCCAATGTTGACCTAAATGACTAATGATGATAAATAGAATCCACCTGTGTGGAATCAAGTCTCCATATAAATGCACCTGCACTGTGATAGTCTCAGAGCTCCGTTTAAAGCGCAGAGAGCATCATGAAGAACAAGGAACACACCAGGCAGGTCCAAGATACTGTTGTGGAGAAGTTTAAAGCCGGATTTGGATACAAAAAGATTTCCCAAGCTAAACATCCCAAGGAGCACTGTGCAAGCGATAATATTGAAATGAAAGGAGTATCAGACCACTGCAAATCCACCAAGACCTGGCCGTCCCTCTAAACTTTCAGCTCATACAAGGAGAAGACTGATCAGAGATGCAGCCAAGAGGCCCAGGATCACTCTGGATGAACTGCAGAGATCTACAGCTGAGGTGGGAGACTCTGTCCATAGGACAACAATCAGTCGTATACTGCACAAATCTGGCCTTTATGGAAGAGTGGCAAGAAGAAAGCCATTTCTTAAAGATAGCCATAAAAAGTGTCGTTTAAAGTTTGCCACAAGCCACCTGGGAGACACACCAAACATGTGGAAGAAGGTGCTCTGGTCAGATGAAACCAAAATCGAACTTTTTGGCAACAATGCAAAACGTTATGTTTGGCGTAAAAGCAACACAGCTCATCACCCTGAACACACCATCCCCACTGTCAAACATGGTGGTGGCAGCATCATGGTTTGGGCCTGCTTTTCTTCAGCAGGGACAGGGAAGATGGTTAAAATTGATGGGAAGATGGATGGAGCCAAATACAGGACCATTCTGGAAGGAAACCTGATGGAGTCTGCAAAAGACCTGAGACTGGGACGGAGATTTGTCTTCCAACAAGACAATGATCCAAAACATAAAGCAAAATCTACAATGGAATGGTTCACAAATAAACATATCCAGGTGTTAGAATGGCCAAGTCAAAGTCCAGACCTGAATCCAATCGAGAATCTGTGGAAAGAACTGAAAACTGCTGTTCACAAACGCTCTCCATCCAACCTCACTGAGCTCGAGCTGTTTTGCAAGGAGGAATGGGCAAAAATTTCAGTCTCTCGATGTGCAAAACTGATAGACATACCCCAAGCGACTTACAGCTGTAATCGCAGCAAAAGGTGGCGCTACAAAGTATTAACTTAAGGGGGCTGAATAATTTTGCACGCCCAATTTTTCAGTTTTTTATTTGTTAAAAAAGTTTGAAATATCCAATAAATTTCATTCCACTTCATGATTGTGTCCCACTTGTTGTTGATTCTTCACAAAAAAATTACAGTTTTATATCTTTATGTTTGAAGCCTGAAATGTGGCAAAAGGTGTGATGATTTGTATGAATGATATAAACACAAAGGAAATTATAAATACACCATTGTCATTAATTGAAACAATTCCCTTTCTTTTTCAATGAACCCAATCACCCTCCACCCCAGTCTCGGCCACTAACACGGTACCTGCCGGTGAGAAAGGACGACTTTGATTTACGGGCTCACATTGAGTCGGCAGGTCACAGTGCAGACACGTGTTTCCACTTGTCCATCTCTGAAAAGACCTGCCGGGGCTACTTGATCAAAATGGGAGGCAAAATCAAAACCTGGAAGAAGCGCTGGTTCGTCTTTGACCGCAATCGACGCACACTCTCCTACTATGCAGGTAGGGCAGAAGATGACTGAAGACACAGACAACAGAGAATATAACTACAGGTCGATAGAGGCACACACGCTGGTGTGTTACATTTATTTAACTTTATGTAATATTCTGTATTACCTATATTTTATAAACATGATATAAGCAAAATTAAAAAGTGCTAGTATTTTCCACATATTTATATTAATGCATTTCACTTATATTTTCTGCAGACAAGCATGAAGCCAAGCTGAAAGGAGTCATTTACTTTCAAGCTATTGAAGAAGTGTATTACGATCACTTGAAGAATGCACATAAGGTATGTTTGTGTATATATACGTACAGTGTTTTACTCCTGTAATCATTCCATTTCTTGAAAAGTATGATTTACTATCTCCTCACATTTTCTTCTTGTCCTCCTTCTCATGAATTTTTCTAAATTCCTGTCTTTTCCCCATTTCTTTCTTTTGTTCTTGTTTCATCCTGCATCATCACTTCCTTCTCTTTCTCCTGCAGAGCCCAAGCCCCTCACTGACCTTCAGTGTAAAGACCCATGACAGGATCTATTATATGGTTGCTCCCTCGCCTGAAGCCATGAGAATTTGGATGGACGTGATCGTCACAGGTGCTGAGGGATACACCCAATTCATGGTGTAGGGGTTGCGGTGCTACAGTCGGACACAACATGCTAACCCTCACCTTGGACTTTTTTAGAGTCTGGATGGACATCGTTGGTATGAAGGATGAAGAGCATTTCTCCTGTGTTAAGACAGAAAAGTGGAGTTAGCTGATCATTTTGTAACATGAAATTATAGATGTATACAAGATGATAGTTTTAATATTTTTATGCAGTCTGTTTCAGTCCAAGAGCAATAATGAAGTAGGAGTTCAGGAGGTCTGAAATGTGCTATGATGCACCACAATGCCTTACAGGAGACTCAGATGTCTTAGTATGACATTAATGATCCAAAAAAAAGTGCTGTACAAAGCCTGTACAGTTGTCATGCAAGAACTTGTGGTCAGTTTTTCCTCTGGTTTAAACAAGGTTAGACAATTTCAGGTGTGTTCTACTCATTTTAGGCCGTTTCATGTGGGAAGTATAAATAATGCATAATAATAGTAGCAGATGAAAATGAAATTTGCTACACTTTCTGTATCATGGGGTACTCTCAGGTCTTAATTATGTGCATAGATGTGCTTCCCTGCATCATATAATCATATGTGAATTTATATATATATATGCTTAAAAACAAGTGCCTTTTGTGTGCATACTCATAGGTGCACATCTATTTACTCTGAGCTTTTAATGGAGCTCCAAGGTGCTATTTTAATAATCATAGCCACACCCTTATATAAAGGGGTGTAGTTATTATTTCAACATAGTGATAATCAGTCATTTTTAAAAAGATTATTGTGCTGGGTTTACAATAGCATCACCAGAGGCTCAGAAATTAAACTTAAACATCTGTTAAAACATAACTAGTGTCAGGTGTCCTTTTTCCATTATAAGGAGTTGAATAAGAAAAAGGAATAATTTTAATATGTGACAAAATTGTTATATTTGTACATTTAGTTTTTAAGTTGTAGTTAAGTTTTAAAACGGTTATGATCCATTATGAACTCAAGAGTCCTATCTGCTTTTAATTACCATATTCTGTGTGATATTATTTGACATGCATACTGCATTATCTGTATCATAAGGCCTACATGTATCTCTGTACTAAATCCCAAAATTTTATCTGGTGGAAAATGCAGAAATATGGTCCTGAGTGGTTTTATGAGAAAAGACCTTAAAATACAATCCTATAAAGGTGTCCCTCAGACATATGGTACATGCACACACTTTTTTTAATCAATTCTGACTGATTATGTGTCACTTTGGTCCACTAGCTTTCATAGCGTTGCTTGTATTACCACTAATCTCCATGTACATGGTTGTTTTCCACCAATTAAAGAAGATGTTACAGTGAAAACTTCTATATTTTTTTCTATTTTAAAAATGTTTTGAAATTGATCTTACTATATTTATATCTTGCATGTATCTTAATTTTGTATTTCCATATGTTTAATAAAAATATATTTTACCTTTTATTTTCTCCATAAGGGGACAGTCTACTTTCATACGGCAAAAATGAGTTGCTTTTTTTTTTTTTTTTACCAATTTTATTTCAACAAAATGGTGTTGTAAATAACAGATGTTATTTATATTGCACCCAGTGGTCATTCATTCTGTCATCTGCCCCCTGGTGCTGTGTATGGGTGGACTATTCTTAGAATTACTGGGCTGGGGGGGGGTCCTATAACTGGGGCTCACCTTCTGATAGACTCAATTCAGATCAAGCCCCTCTAATCACACCAATATCCTCTCATAGTTATTTTAAAATTAATTCTGAAAGGCCTAACTACCTCAGTAAGCAGTGAGTTTTTACATTCCCTTGTAATATTTAGTAATATAGGCAATGATACTTAATAACACCCCCACCAAAGCCACAGTGTAAATGTTCCACTTCAGACTGACATCTAAGGAAGCAGGGAACAATATTGTTGGTATACTATGACACTAGGAGTTGAGATTGCTGGAGTGCTGTATGCATCTAACACTTCCCAGTATACTTTGATTTATTTTGTTTTTGTTTTTGTTTCTTGTTTGATGAGTAGACACAGTCATGGCCAAAACCATGCACCACTTCTCCCGGAAAATTGTTGCAATCACAAATGCTTTGGTATTCTTGTATTTATTTCTTTTGTTTGCACTGGAACAACACAAAAAAGCCCGATACATTCTACACAGAACTCCAAAAATGGACAGGACAGCATTATTGACAAATGGTGGATGTTTTGGGGTTGCTTTGCTGCCTCAGTCACTGCATGTCTTGACTGTGTGTGTGGCATTATGACATCTGAAGACTACCTATGAATTCTGGGGCACAATGGAGGGCCCAGTGTCAGAAAGTTGGGTCTCTGTCAGAGGTCATAGGTCTTACAGTGACTCAAAGCAGCCAGAAATGGTTTCAGACAATGTGCTGGAGAGTTGTGAAGTGGCCAGCAAAGAATCCAGATCTGTGGAAAGACCGGGAGCAGTTGGCAAAAGAAGAATGGTCCAAAATTCCAGTAGAGAGGTGTAAGAAACTCACTGGTGGTTACAGGAAGTAACTGACTTCAGTTATTTTGTCCAGAGGGGATCCTACCAAATATTAAGCTGAGGGTGTCTAATTCTGTCCAGTCCGTTTTTGGAGTTGCCTGTAGAATGTATCAGATTTGGCTTTTTTGTGTTGTTAGAATGTCAACATAAGAATACCAAAGCATTTATTATTGCAATACTTTTCTGGGAGACATGGCGCCTTATCTGACATCGTACAGTATTTGGCCATTGCTGTATGAGATTAATGTAAGTCAGAGGATAAACTGAAAACCTTGGGGATTCGGTGATTTATTGAGCCCTGGCTATAAATAGACCCAGCGAGTGTTCTTGGACTGATCACCGTGGCACTGTGCATGTGTGGGTTTGTGACTGCCTGTATCTTTAAGAGCTCCGCTGTAAATTGAGCTCTAGAGGCGAGAGAGTGTAATTTCAAACACCGACGCCCCTCATTCCTGTAAACCGTGCGTCGAGCTGAATGCGTCCGCACCTCTACAAAGATGCGCGTTTCGTGTTGGATAGATTTTTCGTTAAACGCCGCAAAGCAGACACAGACGCGGAGCTCCAGCCTCACCGGATCCCCCACAGGTTGTTAGTGTGTGTGGAGCTGGAGACGGGTTGTGTTGTGTATCCAAATGACTCGACATGGCTGTGGGTTTGACTCAACATAACCTACAAGACTTTGCGAGCGACCCTGGAAACAACCAGCTGAGCGCGTTAGATGAAAATCATCTTAATGACAGTCAACAGGTAAGTCCGTCTTGGATCTTTTGTTTTCTGTCTTTATATCTGGTACACAGAAACACGACGAGGCCGGTGTTATTTTTCCTCAACACATCTCAGCAGCTGGCCAGGCATTGCGGAGTGAATTGGCCTTATGTATTCTGTTATATAGTCCTATCCCTTACTTTACTAATAATGATCATATCTGTAGGACTTGACAGAAAACGTGCAGATCGAGCAGTCGAGTTTGGACAGCATTCATAAAATCCGACCCAGCGATGCGTATATGTTATTTTCTTGGTGATATGGTTTCCTCGTAAAAAAAAAAAACTCCACCCTTTTACGCAAGCGCGTTTAACCTTAGGCACCATTCCATATGGGAGCATATGAGGCTGCTTGTTCGATATGGATTGCTTCACGCCTGGAGAGAGGATGGCAGCAGAGGGGGCAGTAATTTAAAAAAACTGCACTGTGTCCAACAGCCTTCACAGGGTGTACAGGAACATTCCTGTTCCACTCAGCTTGTACTGATTATTGTTCTTATATGACAGGGTACCCTATACAGGAAATCTGTGCTCCTGGTTTAACCTCCATATTTAAGAGGAGGCTGTAGATTGGACTAAAATGTAAAGCAGTCATTATATCAGTTTGTTGCTTTATATATCCTATGGTCCACTCAGCTGGCAGGTTACATATAGAGTTACACTGGAATTTGTGAGGAGGGGAAGCCCTGTCCAATAAGGCTGGAGTGTGGGTGGTCGGCTTCTTCAGTACAACATGTGGATTGTCGCTCTACCATCAACTCATCATCATCATCCACATGCATTAGAGGCCCGATGGTGAAATTTCAGCCTGGAATCTCAAATTGAAACTTTCAAAGTGGCCAAATACCTTTTAGGAAGCAATTGTGCACTTATTTAATATATATTTTAATACAAGTGAAGCAACTCTTTAGATGAATTTGAACAGAACAGTACTCACCTTCATGAAGCACTTTGAAGCCACAAAAGACAATAATATAACAAAGGTCTCTACCCAAATATACTGCCAGACGCAGGCGATTTGTGAATGTGTGTGTAAAAATGGAGGATATATGTCACCAATTCCTGCCAATATGCAAATGTGAAGCCAAAATATTGTGACCAGAGGTGGTATCAGGCCACTAATGCAAGCTGTCAAATCCTGTGAAGTGCACCCCTTTTTACATCATCAAATAACTTATTAACAACAAGCCTATATAAAAACATAGCCATTTTTCAATTTTGCTTTATTTAGTTAGTTGACCTGTCTGATGTGCACAATACCATTGGTAAGGCACAGAGATAAGATCACAGTGACACACCAGAAGGTTAAATGTGTGTCAAATGTGCACAGCACCTCTCTCAGTGTGGAGGCACACGTATCACTCCTGTTGCTGTTTAAAGGCCAGTGTGATTTAAGTTGAAGAATGAGTTAGAGTACGTATTACTTCTGTTTGTTCTGCCCGAGTCGGTGTCTGAAAGTGGACGTTTCAAGTCAGAAGCTTGAGAGTTGCCAGCGCTGTGATGCTGAAGGAAACAGATCTGAACTCCGGCAGAGTGCCATTTGGATGTCAGGAGGTGGGGCTCAGCAACGATGGGCTCCAGCCCAATTTACCCCCAGTGCCTAGCTAAAACTAATGGTGTCAGTTACAACAATCCTGCACTAAATCCTCCTTTAACAAAGATGATAATGTAAAATGTTTGTACAAAAAACTGACACACAATGACACGCAGAGAGGTGTTGCTTCAATTGTATGATCATTTTTGAGACTTTAGTTTGTGCTTTTGTTAAACAGTTATAAAAGAGATGTGTTTCTATTTTCTAGCCTACACTCATTGATAGAAACAGGGTGGACAAAATAATACTACGTCTATGAATATGTTTGAGGCAATAACAAGTCAGGATCAAGTTGGCCAGAGGCCTAGATATAATCACTTTGTGGAGTTTTTCCTTAGAGTGTTGTATTGTAAAGCCCCTGGGGACAAATTTGTGATTGTGATACTGGCTTATATTAGGAAAATTTGACTTGACGAGTTTATCTTAACATGCCATTCTCTATTCTAATCGCTGTGACAATAAGAAATCAGTGCAGTTTTAAATAGCACTGCTCTTAAGTGATGGAATTAGTTTGGGGTTAATTCCTCAAAAGTCATTTTTTCCACATTTTTAGTCGCAGGATACATTTACAGGCTGACATGCACATCTGCTTCATGCTTTATGAGTGCTGTTTTCTTTCTGTAACCTTATGTTCTCAAGCATTTTTGGTGAATGGTGGTTAAAAAAATAACTTGGCAAGAGCTTCAGGGAGTGAGATGTACAGTATGTGCTGGAAGAGTGTCACTTCTATTGCTTATGAAAGATATTTCCCAGTTACGTAACCAGTGAAACTCAGAGAGACGAGGCGGTCCAAGTGCCTACAAAAAACCGTGCTGGTTTATTCAAAGGATCACAGGTAAAATTAACATAACACGCTCGGGTCTTTCTTGCACCTCCAATACTGCGCACAGGCAGATGAAGAATGTAAGACCCTGAACCCAACAGGCCTGTACATTATATCTGGTTTGGGCTAACCACATTCTACACAGGGACGTCAAATCATGGCGTCACCTGATATGCCAGCTTTACAGCTGACCGTAGCAGTAGTCAAAACATGGAGAAAATCAATGTGTGTGAGTGTTGATTATGTGGTGTGTATCTAAGAACATACAGGACATTCAGGGACATGTCCGGACATTAAGCCTAGGAAGATATTATGATTAAGATTACGGCTAAACATATCATAATAATAACATCATAATAATAATAATCATCATCCTGCCTGCTGACAATCAAACTTTTCTATGTAGTTATCCTTGCCCATGTACACCCTGCTAAAATCTCATGACAATGACTAAGCATTTAAACAGTCTAACTAGACATCCTGTCTCCACTAAACATTTCTAATACAACAAGTACCTAACCAATATTTATCTGATTAAAAAATTACCTAACAATTAAAATATGTAAATATGCCTTTAAAGTTAACAGACCTGGCCTCTTGCTGATGATTGGCACAGTCAAATTAGCTCATATGCAAATAATTCAATGCCACACCCATAAAAGAGTTTAGTGGTGAAAGAGTGGGCTTGCTAAGGGGGATGGGGCTTAGATGAACTGTTCAGGAGTCTTATAGCCGATGGTATGAAACTGCTGAGCATTCTGGTGGAGCTGAGGGTGGTGGGCAGGGTGCGATGAGCATCTGATGAGCATGTTTCAGGCAGCAGGAGGTGGAGATGGTGTTGGCGTCTGGCTACATACAGTATCTCCAGTGATTTTGGTTTTTTTATGCCTGTTGATTAGTCAATCTGTGTGTTTACTTTGTTTGCGTATGATAATTCTATCATAGTTAAGATTTAGTTTATAGCACACATAAGTTTACCTACTTTAATCTTACAGTTATGTTTATGTAGTTACATGTCACCTTATGTGTTCACTGAATCACTGGTCAGTATTTACTGCTGAAAGATTGTCTCCAGCCGGGTCAATCACAATGCAGAGTACCTCGACACGGGTGTGACAAAATCATTCCGCTACACTAGGAAGACCCCTTAGCCAAACGGGAAGCCATATCTCATATAGTGTGGTTAGTTAGTAACACAGAAAGAAGTGAGTGTAGGAATTTAGACAGAGTATAATTTCCTCCATCTTTAGGAAGCTGCCTTTCCCATTGGAGCAGAAAGGATGCAGGAGGAGGACGGATGGATAGATGGACCAATAGAACAGCACGAGAGGACTGGAACAGCCTACAATGGCACATTTGAAATTGTATAAAATCAACTGAATGGAGGAGGACAGGGTTCTCTCACGTCCTGAAGACGAGTTGAACGGTTTTGCTGTTGAGGTCAGGGCTTCAGATAGAGACGGAACCCAGAGCTCTGTAAATTGCTTTATTCGATGGTCTGTTCAGTTATGATAATAAATGTTTGAAAGGTGATAGTTGACTCCGATTATTCTTCATAAAAGAACACGCTGCACTTGTCATGCTATATAGATTTATATTTTTATGTATTTGGACAAATACAATATGGCGCTTCTGTTTGCATTATTAAATCATCCACAAACTGGACCATTTCAAGAGGAGTTGGTCCACATCAGATGAAGCTCATCATACTCAATCCACCCTATGTCATTAAATGGCATTCAGTATTAAAACCTCACATAATCATCTTTATTTTGTACCGTTATGACTGTGATTAGTACAGTAATGTTAACGATTGATTATATAATCTTTACTGTGTCCAAGATACTATTTATGAGTAGATCAGAAAAGGGTGTTAAATTGCCACTCGGTACCAGTGGATGGGACCCACTGTTAATTTGAAGACGCACTCTGCCCAGCAGTACACGAGGAGAAACCCGTTGTTCAGAATGTGGTTACTGTAGTTTTGGTCAAATTTGTAAATTATGACACTGTAAATGATTTTGAATATGTAGGTCGCTGCTGTGTGCTTTACGCAAACAGTTCAAGGTGACAGGCACATTCAGGATGTTGTGGTTTTACCAGTTTTCTATCTCGACATATCTGTTTTAGATGCAGTAAATAAATATACTCATTTATACAACCATTGTTGTCGTAGTGCTTGGGAAAGACGGTGTACGTGCTGAAAGCACAACAACTGGTTTCATAATGAAGGCACTATTGTACGTCTTAAAACCTTTGCCTTCTGTCTGAAGAACCTCCCAGGAAATAAAAATTTTCTTGCAGTGATCAAAAATTGAATACATTTTTCAGTCAGTTAGCCAGTTTTTAATAGAGGCTCAAACATAAAGAATGGTTGGAGTAGAACTGATGACTAATGATTGTCATGTCTTTAATTCCCACATTTTGCCTATGAGGTTTAAGCCACTCCTTCTGGTTAAAGCTCTGCTGGAGCTGAGTAAAACTGACTGGGGCCTGTAGGGGAGATGTGATTTTTCTGACACATTGCGGTTGTTGTTAAAGGTCACCAAGTTATAAATACCAGCTGCTGGGGTCTGGCTGGCCTGAAAGGAAACGATAATCTCATTTATTTTGTTTTCAGTAGGATGTAATGAAACGACAGAGCACAGCTATCTTTCCAAGTCTTTTTTTTTTCCTAACGTAACCTCTTTCTATCTGTCCTTCCACAGTGAGGTTGAGTGGCGATGGACCCATTCAGCCAGCTTATCCTCACCATCTCGGTAACCAGTTTCTTCACCTTCCAGTGCCTCTTCCACAAAGTCAGCCCCTGGGTGTCCATGCACATCAGTTCCGGTTTCCTCGGTCTAAGTGACAAGCAGAAGGTGGAATGGAACTCAAGGTGAGCTGACATCAACTTAGGATCATGAGGAATCTGAAGATTTACATGTTATGCACAGCAAGAAGTGTGACACTGCTCTCGGCCAGTGGATGTTTGTTTCAGCTGAGTCCAAAGATAAGCATTGATGGTCAGTCCACATAGTAACTGATTTAGTAGTAGGATGCACTGTGTAACTGCCCTATGGAAACTAACTGAATAGCTGTCTTGTTTTGGTTTTTATCAGCCTTTCTTCAGTTGTGGATTCAATGTCAACGTTCATCTTTAAACAAGTGCTTATTTTTGACTGACTGAATTCATCAAGTCTTTGGTTTATTTTATTTTATTTCATTTTATTTATTTATTTCAGTCTTCCAAATCACAAAAGAAAAAAATTCAAAAAAATGAGCAAATCGGCATCAAAAATAAAAACAAACATTAAACCAAATATAATATAGAATATCATACTGGTTGAAAAAGGTGTCGGCCTAAGTTGTAGGTTATTATACCTACCCTACTTATTCTAACAATTCCTTTATCAACCTAAATGTATTGTACATAATTCATATATGTGTATGTGTGTGTGTGTGTGTGTGTGTGTGTGTAAACTACTATTATATAAGCCTAATCATTGTACCTGTTACTGTATAATAAATAATTCAACTTTCACCTACTGTTTTATATTTGCTTTTATTTTATTTTGAACCTACCTATGCATACACCCTGTTTACACAGTACAAAGCCAAATTGCTGTCTAACAAGCATAACAAATGTTTAAGAGTGAAATTAGAACAAATACTGTATTTTATATCAAATTAAAACATAATGTTAAAACCATATTTAATAGAAGCAGTACAATAATAAAAGAATAGAGGGAAAACAAGGGGTAAAACTAGTCTAAGATCTGCTGGACTCCATTTTGTAATCCCTAATGCATGTCCAAGAGTAGTCGACAAATGTCTAAGTTAAGACTTTAAAAGCATGTCCAAGAGTGGTTGATAAGATGTTAAAATTAATAATTAAACTCAGCTCATTCATTTTCAGAACCTGCTGTTGTCTACTTCATTTAAGCATTTAAAGGCCTTTTTGACTTTCCTAAGATCTAATAAAGCAGGAAGTTTCAGAAAAGGTGTTTGATATATTGGTTGTTTTTCCATAAAGGCTTTGTAAATAAATATTAAAGAGTGTAAATCCATTCAGACGGACAGAGAAGGACAGCCAACAGATTAGCACAGGTCGCTGGGGGTTCAATGTCTTGCCCAAGGACACTTCAACATGTGGACTGGAGGCATTTGTTGAATTGAAATGGTCACATGGTTTATCAGTAAACGAAAAGGGATGATTAATGGGGATGGATCCAGGCTATGAGGATCACTGTTAAAGCCCATGAATTAATTTAAACTGTTATTGTCTTCCTCAGAACTGTTAGACTGTCTAACTTCTTCAGTGACTGGGACTGTGTACCTTAGCCTGACCCTTCAGTAGTATTTAATCCCTTAGTCTAATTGGTCTCACTTTCCCTGTAGGCCCTTGACAGGCAATAAGCTGATTCAGTGTGAGCACTAAAAATTCAGTGCTCTAAACTCCAAGGCACTTGTCATGAATAGAGATACACTATGCACTATTTTTTGAGAATTCTATTATTGTACAGAAATGTCTGACATTTGTTAGCATCACACAGGAATAGATCATCATGACTATGTGTTGGTTTTCTTTTCAGGACAGTGTCAACATTTCACGCTCTGTTGGTGGGACTCTTTTGTCTCTATATCTTCTTATTCGATGATGCCATCAATGAAGACCCAGTCTGGTGAGAGTATGACTGTGAATTGAGTTTCCATACTGTGGTTATTTTTATACAGTATGGCAGCTTTTGTCACAAATGGCCCAATTGTCTAGTCATAGAATCCAATGGCATTGCATGGCTGTGACACTTTGGACATGTCCTCATATTGCTGTGCAGGGGGTTTCTAGTAAGAGATGTTCTAGCTGTGCTAATAATTTGGACGTTGGTGCACATGCATATGTATAAAACAGCTAAACTAGATTTTCCAAATAATATCAGACCCAATGACTCAAGTTCTTATAATAAAAAAGAGTCCTTTCGCAGGATCTGTGATGCTTGGAATAATTTACACAGGGTTTTAGAGCCACAGAAAAGTGCTTTCTAGGCCAGTGTGCATCACGTGGTGAAGCTTTGTGGTTTTGCCACTGTGGCACATTTGCTTCACAGCCCAGTGCTGTTGCTGGGTCCTTGACTATACCACTAGGAACCACATAAGGTGGAAATTTTCAACACCTACACATTTAAAAATTTATCGTAAAACACAGTCAAGACACATGCTGTTTCTTTCAACAGGGGAGATCCTACACTGGTGAAAACTAACGTTGCCATCACAACAGGCTACCTCATATCCGGTAAGAGATATGCACGGCTTATCTAGTTAATGTTTGTAAAAGGACTGACAGAACGAGCATGTAACATTATCAGTTTGATGCTTGCATGACTCACTTTACTTTGGAGCCTACTGTGTGTATCAGAAGCAAAGTAACATACAGATAATGTGTCAGTTTTTAATAAGCATCAATACTTTAAATGTTTTGATTGCACCAATGACGCGCTCTCTCTTACTCTCCCCCTTTACTTCTGTTTTCTAGATCTGCTGTTAATATTTTACTATTGGAAGGCGATAGGCGACAAGTTTTTTGTAATTCACCATCTGGCAGCATTGTATGCTTACTACTATGTACTGGTGAGTGCCCTATGGTCCAATAGCAGAATATGCAGGCAAGATGGGAAGGAGACAACCAAGGGTGAACAGCTGTGCTGTGTTGGGTTGAGTGTTTTAACTAATTTAGCCAACATTCACCGAGTGACCATGACTGTCATGCAGCTCATATACTGTAGTAAGGCAGTGTCAGCATATGAAGTATTTGCACAAATTATACTTCCTAAACTATACAAACACACCAGAAAAAGAAACTATGGATGGTTAAAATCCAGTTCATAGTGTTTTGCTGTTAAGATATGTAATTTGTTTGTTGCTACTTCTGTGGTTGAAATGGTGTTTTGAGGATGTGTGTAAATTTGAACTAAACAAAAGGAAAAACACATTTGT